TCTAATGAGTGTGGTGCGTTCAGGGTCTGATCTTTATGGTAAACAGTGTGTATTGAGCTCTAATGAGAGTGTGGTGCGTTCAGGATCTGATCTTCGTGGTAAACAGTGTGTATGGTGCGTTCAGGGTCTGATCTTAGTGGTAAACAGTGTGTATTGAGCTCTAATGAGAGTGTGTGTGGTGCGTTCAGGGTCTGATCTTCGTGGTAAACAGTGTGTATTGAGCTCTAATGAGTGTGTGTGTGGTGCGTTCAGGGTCTGATCTTCGTGGTAAACAGTGTGTATTGAGCTCTAATGAGAGTGTGTGAGGTGCGTTCAGGGTCTGATCTTAGTGGTAAATAGTGTGTATTGAGCTCTAATGAGAGTGTGTGAGGTGCGTTCAGGGTCTGATCTTTGTGGTAAACAGTGTGTATTGAGCTCTAATGAGTGTGGTGCGTTCAGGGTCTGATCTTTGTGGTAAACAGTGTGTATTGAGCTCTAATGAGAGTGTGGTGCGTTCAGGATCTGATCTTCGTGGTAAACAGTGTGTATTGAGCTCTAATGAGAGTGTGGTGCGTTCAGGACCTGATCTTCGTGGTAAACAGTGTGTATTGAGCTCTAATGAGAGTGTGGTGCGTTCAGGATCTGATCTTCGTGGTAAACAGTGTGTATTGAGCTCTAATAAGTGTGTGTGTGGTGCGTTCAGGGTCTGATCTTAGTGGTAACAGTGTGTATTGAGCTCTAATGAGAGTGTGGTGCGTTCAGGGTCTGATCTTCGTGGTAAACAGTGTGTATTGAGCTCTAATGAGAGTGTGTGTGGTGCGTTCAGGGTCTGATCTTCGTGGTAAACAGTGTGTATTGAGCTCTAATGAGAGTGTGTGAGGTGCGTTCAGGGTCTGATCTTAGTGGTAAATAGTGTGTATTGAGCTCTAATGAGAGTCTGTGAGGTGCGTTCAGGGTCTGATCTTTGTGGTAAACAGTGTGTATTGAGCTCTAATGAGTGTGGTGCGTTCAGGGTCTGATCTTTGTGGTAAACAGTGTGTATTGAGCTCTAATGAGAGTGTGGTGCGTTCAGGATCTGATCTTCGTGGTAAACATTGTGTATTGAGCTCTAATGAGAGTGTGGTGCGTTCAGGACCTGATCTTCGTGGTAAACAGTGTGTATTGAGCTCTAATGAGAGTGTGGTGCGTTCAGGATCTGATCTTCGTGGTAAACAGTGTGTATTGAGCTCTAATAAGTGTGTGTGTGGTGCGTTCAGGGTCTGATCTTAGTGGTAAACAGTGTGTATTGAGCTCTAATGAGAGTGTGGTGCGTTCAAGGTCTGATCTTCGTGGTAAACAGTGTGTATTGAGCTCTAATGAGAGTGTGTGTGGTGCGTTCAGGGTCTGATCTTCGTGGTAAACAGTGTGTATTGAGCTCTAATGAGAGTGTGTGTGGTGCGTTCAAGGTCTGATCTTCGTGGTAAACAGTGTGTATTGAGCTCTAATGAGAGTGTGTGTGGTGCATTCAGGGTCTGATCTTCGTGGTAAACAGTGTGTATTGAGCTCTAATGAGAGTGTGGTGCGTTCAAGGTCTGATCTTAGTGGTAAACAGTGTGTATTGAGCTCTAATGAGAGTGTGTGGTGCGTTCAGGGTCTGATCTTTGTGGTAAACAGTGTGTATTGAGCTCTAATGAGTGTGTGGTGCGTTCAGGGTCTGATCTTCGTGGTAAACAGTGTGTATTGAGCTCTAATGAGAGTGTGGTGCGTTCAAGGTCTGATCTTAGTGGTAAACAGTGTGTATTGAGCTCTAATGAGAGTGTGTGTGGTGCGTTCAGGGTCTGATCTTTGTGGTAAACAGTGTGTATTGAGCTCTAATGAGAGTGTGTGTGGTGCGTTCAGGGTCTGATCTTCGTGGTAAACAGTAGCCTCATTCCAATACCCCTCCTCGACTCCTCCTTTCACTCACTCGCGTCCCTTCCTTGCATCTTAGCTCCGCCTCCGTAAGATGCGAGCGAGAGACACGAGGAGGTGACGCGAGGACAGAGGAGTCCTCAGGTATTATTTGGGACGTCCTCGTTCACTCAAACGTCACTCTTAAACGACGTCTGTTAATGATGCCATGTGCACAGCTGTATCCCCTCTCATCGGGCTGACTGAAGAACCCTTAGAACCGGCCCATTTCTGGTTACATATTTATTTAAATGAATCTTTCTCTTGTTAGTCAAGGAACTCAATGTGTGATGGTTGGTCCTGCTTTTGCGTTCCGTGTTGGTGTGAAATGTAGCCTACATTTAAATACAAATATAATGATAGTAATGTGAAAGCCTTCTAGAAATGAATTGCACATAATAATTCCCACGGAGCTGTGAGCACTGAGACATTTATGTGACGCTTTTCCACTCATCTTCCAGTTGTGGGTTTTCCTCTGTTGAAATGGACCAGCTGTGAAGGAGGGGGCGGGGCTTTTATATGCGAGTAGTGAAAACACTTCCGCAGTCTGCTCGCGTGTATCCTCCCCTTTCGTATCCTCCCTCACCCCTCCTCCCTCACCCCTCCTCCCTCCTCGACTCCTCCGTGTGCATTTCAGCTATTGGGACGTCCTTCAAAATGGGGTGTCTTGATCGATTTCCGGGTCAAGTCCCGGAGGAGGGAAAGAGAGGAGTCGAGGGATGAGGCTAGTGTTAATTGAGCTCTAATGAGTGTGGTGCGTTCAGGGTCTGATCTTTGTGGTAAACAGTGTGTATTGAGCTCTAATGAGAGTGTGGTGCGTTCAGGATCTTAGTGGTAAACAGTGTGTATTGAGCTCTAATGAGAGTGTGTGTGGTGCGTTCAGGATCTGATCTTCGTGGTAAACAGTGTGTCTTGAGCTCTAATGAGAGTGTGTGTGGTGCGTTCAGGATCTGATCTTCGTGGTAAACAGTGTGTATTGAGCTCTAATGAGAGTGTGGTGCGTTCAGGGTCTGATCTTCGTGGTAAACAGTGTGTATTGAGCTCTAATGAGAGTGTGTGTGGTGCGTTCAAGATCTGATCTTCGTGGTAAACAGTGTGTATTGAGCTCTAATGAGAGTGTGTGTGGTGCGTTCAGGGTCTGATCTTCGTGGTAAACAGTGTGTATTGAGCTCTAATGAGTGTGTGTGTGGTGCGTTCAGGGTCTGATCTTCGTGGTAAACAGTGTGTATTGAGCTCTAATGAGAGTGTGTGAGGTGCGTTCAGGGTCTGATCTTAGTGGTAAACGGTGTGTATTGAGCTCTAATGAGAGTGTGTGTGGTGCGTTCAGGGTCTGATCTTAGTGGTAAACAGTGTGTATTGAGCTCTAATGAGTGTGTGTGGTGCGTTCAGGGTCTGATCTTTGTGGTAAACAGTGTGTATTGAGCTCTAATGAGAGTGTGTGTGGTGCGTTCAGGGTCTGATCTTAGTGGTAAACAGTGTGTATTGAGCTCTAATGAGAGTGTGTGTGGTGCGTTCAGGGTCTGATCTTCGTGGTAAACAGTGTGTATTGAGCTCTAATGAGTGTGTGTGTGGTGCGTTCAGGGTCTGATCTTCGTGGTAAACAGTGTGTATTGAGCTCTAATGAGAGTGTGTGGTACGTTCAGGGTCTGATCTTTGTGGTAAACAGTGTGTATTGAGCTCTAATGAGTGTGTGTGTGGTGCATTCAGGGTCTGATCTTTGTGGTAAACAGTGTGTATTGAGCTCTAATGAGTGTGGTGCGTTCAGGGTCTGATCTTTATGGTAAACAGTGTGTATTGAGCTCTAATGAGAGTGTGGTGCGTTCAGGATCTGATCTTCGTGGTAAACAGTGTGTATGGTGCGTTCAGGGTCTGATCTTAGTGGTAAACAGTGTGTATTGAGCTCTAATGAGTGTGTGTGTGTGTGTGTGGTGCGTTCAGGGTCTGATCTTAGTGGTAAACAGTGTGTATTGAGCTCTAATGAGAGTGTGTGTGGTGCGTTCAGGGTCTGATCTTCGTGGTAAACAGTGTGTATTGAGCTCTAATGAGTGTGTGTGTGGTGCGTTCAGGGTCTGATCTTCGTGGTGGACAGTGTGTGTGTGGTGCATTCAGGGTCTGATCTTCGTGGTGGACAGTGTGTATTGAGCTCTAATGAGTGTGTGTGTGGTGCATTCAGGGTCTGATCTTCGTGGTAAACAGTGTATTGAGCTCTAATGAGTGTGTGTGTGGTGCGTTCAGGATCTTCGTGGTAAACAGTGTGTATTGAGCTCTAATGAGTATGTGTGTGGTGCATTCAGGGTCTGATCTTCGTGGTAAACAGTGTGTATTGAGCTCTAATGAGAGTGTGTGGTGCGTTCAGGGTCTGATCTTCGTGGTAAACAGTGTGTATTGAGCTCTAATGAGTGTGTGTGGTGCATTCAGGGTCTGATCTTCGTGGTAAACAGTGTGTATTGAGCTCTAATGAGTGTGTGTGTGGTGCGTTCAGGATCTGATCTTCGTGGTAAACAGTGTGTATTGAGCTCTAATGAGAGTGTGGTGCATTCAGGGTCTGATCTTCATGGTAAACAGTGTGTATTGAGCTCTAATGAGTGTGTGTGGTGCGTTCAGGATCTTCGTGGTAAACAGTGTGTATTGAGCTCTAATGAGAGTGTGTGTGGTGCATTCAGGGTCTGATCTTCGTGGTAAACAGTGTGTATTGAGCTCTAATGAGTGTGTGTGGTGCGTTCAGGGTCTGATCTTCGTGGTAAACAGTGTGTATTGAGCTCTAATGAGAGTGTGTGTGGTGCATTCAGGGTCTGATCTTCGTGGTAAACAGTGTGTATTTAGCTCTAATGAGAGTGTGTGTGGTGCGTTCAGGGTCTGATCTTCGTGGTAAACAGTGTGTATTGAGCTCTAATGAGAGTGTGTGTGGTGCATTCAGGGTCTGATCTTCGTGGTAAACAGTGTGTATTGAGCGTGTGTGGTGTGTTCAGGATCTTCGTGGTAAACAGTGTGTATTGAGCTCTAATGAGAGTGTGTGTGGTGCATTCAGGGTCTGATCTTCGTGGTAAACAGTGTGTATTGAGCTCTAATGAGAGTGTGTGTGGTGTGTTCAGGGTCTGATCTTCGTGGTGGACAGTAACGACAGAGAGAGAGTCGCTGAGTCAGCGGAGGAGCTCTCCAAGATGGTCTGTACACACTATCATTATATACTATATAGTGTATATATAGATATATATCTATATCTGGTCTGTGTGTCTCTGCAGATCCAGGAGGATGAGCTGAAGGACGCCGTGCTGCTCGTCTTCGCAAACAAACAAGATCTGCCCAACGCCATGGCAGTCAGCGAACTCACCGACAAGCTGGGGCTGCACAGCCTGAGGAGCAAGACTGTGAGTCCTGTGTACTAATACTGCTAATACTGTTAATACTACAGACTGTAGTACTGCACAGCCTGAGGCCGTTTCTCGATGTCGAGTACACCGGCTGCAGAGCCGCTGCTCCAAGTATCCTCCGTCATCGAGTGGCTGCAGAGCCGCTGCTCCAAGTATCCTCCGTCATCGAGTGGCTGCAGAGCCGCTGCTCCAAGTATCCTCCGTCATCGAGTGGCTGCAGAGCCGCTGCTCCAAGTATCCTCCGTCATCGAGTGGCGCAGAATGCTGGGCATTGGAACGTCGTTCGGCGCCACTCGATGACGGAGGATACTTGGAGCAGCGGCTCTGCAGCCACTCGATGACGGAGGATACTTGGAGCAGCGGCTCTGCAGCCACTCGATGACGGAGGATACTTGGAGCAGCGGCCTCAGTCTACTGTGTACTAATAGCTGAATGAGGTGTGCTCTGATTTTGAAATGCTGTGCCTGCTGCTCTCTGATTGGCTGTCACATGTCTCCTCAGTGGCACGTTCAGGCGACCTGCGCGACACAGGGCACCGGGCTCTACGAGGGTCTCGATTGGCTGTCCAACGAGCTGTCCAAACGCTGAGGAAGAGGAAGAGGAGGAATTCACTGAACTGTTTTTGTTTTTTAAATTATACGTGTCGTCTGTGGGAGGAAGTGATGTCATGGACTCTGACCTCGTCCTCTTCTGTTTTATTTTAATCCGCATGTTTTAAAATCATGTGAAAGGAAGGGGTGGGGCTTAACACACACCTGTGGGGGGCGGGGCTAACCTGAAGTCATTCCATAACATGTGAAGAGATGAAGACGATGCAATAAAGGGTTTCTCTTTCTTGTGTCTGATGAACATTACGTCAGAATGTAAACACAACACCTTTTATTTAAATACAAACATAAACAACTTTATTAGCACACACTGAGGAGCTGACGACGACTGCAGCTTCACTTCCTGTCTGATCTCTACACGCTGATTGGCTCCTGCTGGTTGTTCTGCCGTTTGACCACGAAGACTTTCTGCCCGGAGACAGTCACCATGTAAACAAAGTCCTCCAGGATCACTGAGGGGGGGAGAGAGACAGGTGAGAGGGGGGAGAGAGAGACGAGGGGGGAGGGGGCAGAGAGACAGGTGAGAGAGGGGGAGAGACAGGTGAGAGGGGACAGACAGGTGAGAGTGAGAGGGGGGACAGACAGGTGAGAGTGAGAGGGGGCAGACAGGTGAGAGTGAGAGGGGGGACAGACAGGTGAGAGTGAGAGGGGGCAGACAGGTGAGTTACCTGACATGCGTTTGAATGGAGGCTCGGCTGCTCCTGATAACCTGAAGCGACTCGCCGTCCGGACCATCTGCATCATCACACCTGCTGTGACCTCATCGTTCTCCAGCTCACCTGCTGACTACACACACACTTTTATTTAAATCATGATTGATGTAATTCTGGAACTACATTATAAGACCAGAACTACAAAGCCAGAGAAGAAGACGTTAGTTTGGTAGTTGTGTGGTGTAGTGTGTGTGACTCACGGCCAGCACCCCCTCCTCGCTGATCACCAGGTAGCCGATCTGATCCTGGATCCTGTCCAGACCTGCAGTCAGAGAGGCCGTCTGGGAACAGAGACCAGAGCTAACAGGCTAATACTATAAACCCACTGTCTGGGAACACAGAGACCAGAGCTAACAGGCTAATGCTATAAACCTGCTGTCTGAGAACACAGAGGACCAGAGCTAACAGGCTAATGACCAGAGCTAACAGTAGTGATGTTACGTATTGCGCCGAGGCTTCGGAGCGTTTGTTGAGTAATCCCCGAAGCTTTTTGTGAAGCTTGTATCGTTTTGGGCCAGTGACGTCATCGATGACAAACGAAGCCTCGGTGCCTGTCGATACCACGTGACTGCTTCAGGAAGCCATTCAGATCGGTTGAACCACAACGATCATACCCATGACTGCGGTCAAGCCAGCCCGCACGTGATATTGCGGTGCGCGAATATCCTATGCATTACGGTAGAATCCTGGAAACACTCCCTCTGTTTTTAGATGAGAATAAAACAAAAACTGTCCCGTATCAAAGACTAATTTCACTCCAGGGTGATAGCAGGACATCCCATCTAGTCACTTAGAAAAAATCAGGACATTCTGATGTACAGTTTCAAAATAAAATAAAATCACCCTGAAGTGAGATGAGTCTTTGCTACTGGACAGTTTGTGTTGTATTCTCATCTAAACACAGAGCGATGATAGCTCATATATGATTAGATTACTTTATTGTCATTACAAAAATGCAAGCAGTGTAACTAAATGTAAGGATGGTCTAACCAGAGTGCAAAACAGTCAGTTCCATACACAATTATCAGAAGTATGTACCAAGGTAAATAGATGGGAAATGTATAAATAGGAATAAATACACAGATAATAATAAATACAGTGAATACAGAATTGCGCTTCAGCACAGCACACGACAACAACTAGGCAGTATGGGACAGCGTGGGGTTCATTGTCAGCAGTCTGACTGCTGAAGGGAAGACGCTGTGCTAGTCCTGTTGGTTCTACCCGGGAGGCTGCGGCAGAGTCCGGGAGGCTGCGGCAGAGTCCGGGAGGCTGCGGCAGAGTCCCAGAGCGGGTGCCACGTAGGGGGATACACAGTGTATGGTTGGGGTGGGAAGAGTCTCTGGGTTAGGGTTATGAGACTTCAAAGGTCTTTTATTTTGAAACTGTACATCAGAATGTCCTGATTTTTTCTAAGTGACTAGATGGGATGTCCTGCTATCAACCTGGAGTGAAATGAGTCTTTGATACGGGACAGTTTTTGTTTTATTCTCATCTAAACACAGAGGGAGTGTTTCCAGGATTCTACCGTAATGCATAGGATATTCGCGCACCGCAATATCACGTGCGGGCTGGCTTGACCGCAGTTACCCATGGATGTATAATAAGAACCATTGTCACTGTCACTACCCGATCTGCAGTGCGCATGTGCGAGATGGTCCGCCATATTGGACAACTCCGGACGGCAACTCAGGAAGGACACTTGACACAGTGGCTTTTGGCAAAGCTAAAAAATAAAACGAGAGAGAGATGAGTTATTGTTGTTACGACGTGACTTCACTATTATTTAACAACTCTTTTTGTTGGGTTCTTTTATTTGGGGTTAAGTACATTGTCAGAATAAGTGAGAAATGGATTTAACTTCTGTTAGACAGCTATCATACTGAATACATATTTACTGTGAATGTATGCAAAATGTATGGCATATAGCTGTCTAACAGAAGTTAAATCCATTCCTCACTTATTCTGACAATGTACTTAACCCCAAATAAAAGAACCCAATAAAAAGAGTTGTTAAATAATAGTGAAGTCACGTCGTAACAACAATAACTCATCTCTCTCTCGAGTTTTCTTTTTAGCTTTGCCAAAAGCTACTGTGTCAATGTTGTCCTACTTGGGTTGCCGTCCGGAGTTGTCCAATATGGCGGACCATCTCGCACATGCGCACTGCAGATCGGGCAGAGCTGCAGATCGGGCAGAGCTGCAGATCGGGCAGCGCTGCAGATCGGGTAGTAACAACCATATCACCCCTCCTGTACCCGGGCCCGGTGACACGATGGAATCAAGAGAGCTCAGACCCTCACTTATATAGAGGTCGGAACATGTCATAAGTATAAATAGATATAAGAATAAACACATGTAGGAATAAAAACGGGAATAAATATGTTGCAGTGTTTTCAGGGAGCTTCAGTGTGTGTGCTGCGGCTCAGCTGGAAAGCAGTTGACTCATGACCGCAGGGTCTCTGGTTCAACGACTGAACATTACGTCTTTGTGTTGTTTATAAAAGCTACAGCTAAATGAGATAATGTAGTTAATAAATGTATTCTTTGATATAGTTTAGCCTTTCTCCGGCTACAACATGGTTACGTTTATGAAGGAATGCAAATCCCTCTTTGCAATGTTTACCAGCCTCCTTAGGCTTTTCAATCACAATCATTCAACTGGAATAAAAACAATATTATTGACATGAAGATATGATTTTATGTTCGTTGTTTAGAGTTATTCTAAGGCTTTGCTCAATGGGAACTCGGTATGAGATGATGGAGCTGTTGAGATGTCCAGTCTGCCTGTTTTACACACTTTGACCAGCAGGGGGTTTGTGTTCAGATGAAGCCCATGGTGAAGCCTCATGAGATGAAGCCCATGGTGAAGCCTCATGAGATGAGCCCATGATGAAGCCTCGTGAGATGAAGCCCATGATGAAGCCTCGTGAGATGAAGCCATGGTGAAGGCCTCATGAGATGAAGCCCATGGTGAAGCCTCATGAGATGAAGCCTCATGAGATGAAGCCCCATGAGATGAAGCCTCATGAGATGAAAGCCCATGATGAAGCCTCATGAGATGAAGCCCATGGTGAAGCCTCATGAGATGAAGCCTCATGAGATGAAGCCCATGGTGAAGCCCCATGATATGAAGCCTCATGAGATGAAAGCCTCATGAGATGAAGCCCATGGGTGAAGCCTCATGAGATGAAGCCCATGGTGAAGCCTCATGAGATGAAGCCTCATGAGATGAAGGCCCCATGAGATGAAGCCTCATGAGATGAAGCCCATGATGAAAGCCTCATGAGATGAAGCCCATGATTAAGCCTCGTGAGATGGAAGCCCATGGTGAAGCCTCCTAATGAGCCATGGTGAAGCCTCATGAGTGAAGCCTCCATGAGATGAAGCCCCATGAGATGGCATTGAAGCCCCATGATGATAGCCTCATGAGATGAAGCCCATGGTGAAGCCTCATGAGATGAAAGCCCATGGTGAAGCCTCATGAGATGAAGCCCATGGTGAAGCCTCATGAGATGAAGCCCATGGTGAAGGCCTCATGAGATGAAGCCTCATGAGATGAAGCCTCATGAGATGAAGCCCATGATGAAGCCTCATGAGATGAAGCCCATGGTGAAGCCTCATGAGATGAAGCCCATGGTGAAGCCTCATGAGATGAAGCCTCATGAGATGAAGCCCATGATGAAGCCTCATGAGATGAAGCCCATGGTGAAGCCTCATGAGATGAAGCCCATGGTGAAGCCTCATGAGATGAAGCCTCATGAGATGAAGCCCATGGTGAAGCCTCATGAGATGAAGCCTCATGAGATGAAGCCCATGGTGAAGCCTCATGAGATTGAAGCCCATGGTGAAGCCTCATGAGATGAAGCCTCATGAGATGAAGCCCATGATGAAGGCCTCATAAGATGAAGCCTCATGAGATGAAGCCCATGGTGAAGCCTCATGAGATGAAGCCTCATGATGATGAAGCCCATGATTATGAAGCCTCATGAGATGAAGCCTCATGAGATTGAAGCCCATGATGAAGCCTCATGAGATGAAGCCCATGGTGAAGCCTCATGAGATGAATGAAGCCTCATGAGATGAAAGCCCATGGTGAAGCCTCATGAGATGAAGCCTCGTGAGATGAAGCCTCGTGAGATGAAGCCCATGGTAAGCCTCATGAGATGAAGCCCATGGTGAAGCCTCATGAGGAATGAAGCCCATGGTGAAGCCCTCATGAGATGAAGCCTCATGAGATGAAGCCTCATGAGATGAAGCCATGATGAAGCCTCATGAGATGAAGGCCTCATGAGATGAAGCCCATGATGAGCCTCATGAGATGAAGCCCCATGATGAAGCCTCATGAGATGAAGCCCATGGTGAAGCCTCATGAGATGAAGCCCATGGTGAAAGCCTCATGAGATTGAAGCCCATGATGAAGCCTCATGAGATGAAGCCCATGGTGAAGCCTCATGAGATGAAGCCTCATGAGATGAAGCCCATGGTGAAGCCTCATGAGATGAAGCCTCATGAGTGAAGCCTATGAGATGAGCCCATGGTGAAGCCTCATGAGATGAAGCCTCATGAGATGAAGCCCATGGTGAAGCCTCATGAGATGAAGCCCATGATGAAGCCTCGTGAGATGAAGCCTCGGTGAGATGAAGCTCATGATGAAGCCTCGTGAAATGAAGCCTCGTGAGATGAAGCTCATGAGATGAAGCCTCGTGAGATGAAGCTCATGAGATGAAGCCTCGTGAGATGAAGCTCATGAGATGAAGCCTAGTGAGATGAAGCCTCATGAGATGAAGCCTCGTGAGATGAAGCTCATGAGATGAAGCCTCGTGAGATGAAGCTCATGAGATGAAGCCTCGTGAGATGAAGCATCATGAGATGAAGCCTCGTGAGATGAAGCTCATGAGATGAAGCCTCGTGAGATGAAGCTCATGAGATGAAGCCTTTTGCGAACCAATTGGCTGGAAAGCTTCAAAGCTTCATAAGGCTTCATCTCGCCATCACTAGCTAACAGGCTAATGACCTGAGCTAACAGGCTAATGGTCAGAGCTAACAGGCTAATGGCCAGAGCTAATGCTATAAACCTACTGTCTGTGAACACAGAGGATCAGAGCTAACAGGCTAATGCTAACTGTAGCAGTAGTTCCACAAACGTTTTACTGAGAGCTCATTAAATTATAAATCATGGTAAAAACAGGCACATTAAAAACTCACCATTATTGTTGTTTTCCTCTGTTCTTTAAGAAGCGGCTTCTCAGCTGCATTTCTGTCTCTCACGTGATGTTCACGTGACTCTTGAGGCTTTAAGGTGCTGTCGGAGAATACACTAAACAGAGATTAACTGTGTTTGAGCATGCGCAGGTGTGATCTGTGCTATTGAGGACCTGTAATAGGGGGCTGTCTGAGTTCTAGTATATTAGAAGCACTTCGCGTTACAACAACATATATACACAGTTATTAAAAACTAATGAAAACGTTTAGTTTCGTGACTAAGTAAGAGTGGAAGCTGAGATTAACGATGTGCACCTGAAGGCAGCACGGTGCGGTCTGAACAGGAAGATGTTTTATTTTATCTGGATTTATTTCACGAGTTTTCCTTTGTGTTAGTTTGACACTCAACACTTGTTTAATTGATTAAAGCACCACAGCTGGTTAACTGTTTTATTATTATTTATCTATTTTATTTATGTCTTAATGTTTTTCAGTGACGGACGCAGCCGGAAGCGGAAGTGTTGATCAGCTGACCTCACGTGACTCTGTGAAAGAAGCAGCTGATTCTCAGGTGTGTTTCTGTCTCTCGTTCTGAACACCTTTAGAGATGTCCTGCGCGCGTAAAACTGATCGCGGTGATCGGGGATGACGGACACGTGCACCGGGTGGTTCCTGCTGGGGGGGTGGGGGCGAGCTCAATAAGAACCGGAAGCCCAACTTCCTGTGGTCGAGAAGGAGACTAGCGTCGCGGAGATAGAGGAGACCTTCAAGTGAGTAATCCTTTAATAAACCCTTAAATAAACCCTTAATTAGACCGGTTAATATAAATAGGGAGACCTCCAAGTGAGTAATCCTTAAACAAACCCTTAAATAAACCCTTAATAAAACCCTTAAATAAACCCGTAATCTAGACCCGTAATTAAATAGGAGACCTCCAAGTTAGTAATCCTTAAACAACCCTTAAATAAACCCTTAATAAACCCCTTAAATAGACCGTTAATATAACCATTTATACCCCTTAATAAAACCTTAATAAACCCTTTACTAAACCGTTAAGATAGAGATAGAGGAGACCTTCAAGTGAGTAAACCCTTTAAAGTAGACCTTTTTAAACGGCCATTTCTACTGATCATAGTTTCCAGTGTTGAGGTCTGCGAGAATAGATTTCACATTGTTCAATGTTCCAAACTCACAGTGGTTTCTCACAGCCTCTCTGTAGAGTCTGTGTCCATCGAGGAGTTCTGCGCAGCACATCAGGTCTTCTCTGAGTCAAGAGTGTTACTCCCTACAGGGTGGCACATCTGAGGGTTCTGAGACTCTGCAGAGCGTTCACAAGGGGACGGGTCAGAACACAAGGGGAACGGTACAGAACACAAGGGGACGGGTCAGAACACAAGGGGACGGGTCAGAACACAAGGGGACACAAGGGGACGGGTCAGAACACAAGGGGACGGGACAGAACACAAGGGGACGGGTCAGAACCGGAGAAGCATGACACGGGACCTTTAAGATGACCGTTTATACCCTTAAGTAAACCAGAGAGTCACAGAGATAGAGGGGACCTTCAAGTGAGTAAACCCTTAAATAAACACCCTTAAATAAACCTTAATAAGCCCTTAATAAACCCCTTTAATCAAACGACCCTCATTAGCACACAAAGTGCGTTAGAGAGAGATATTTAAGTTGGATCTGGATAGTAACCGACCTGTCCCAGTGTGTCAGAGAGAGGCCTCTCTAAACTATACTAACACTGACTATACCCCCCCACTGTGCCCCCCCCCCCCACGTGCACCCCCCCTCAGGAGCTTCCTGGCCAGGAGCGATATCGGCATCGTTCTGATCAACCAGTTCATCGCCGAGATGATCCGCCACGCCATCGACGGCCACCTTGAGTCCATCCCTGCCGTGTTGGAGATTCCTTCAAAAGAACATCCGTACGACTGCCAGCAAAGACTCCATCCTGAGGCGCGCCAAGGGCATGTTCTGCGCCGAGGACTTCCGCTAACCAGGGGCCCTGAACGCACCGCTGACCAGGAGCCTGAACGCCCCACCACTCTGTAGACACCTCTGTACAGTGCTGTGTTTCCTCTTATTAATATAGACCTAAAACGCACACCACCACCTGTGACCCTCTGTACAGTGGAGTATAGTGATATGTGTTTCCTCTGAGTGTGTGTGTGTGTGTCACTTGTTCCGGGAGGTGGAGGACGGTCATGTGATGAGTTTTGATATTTACTTCCTGTTTCTGTTGTTGATTGTTTAACTTATAAAATAAAGATTCTGTTGTTTGTGATTTTCTGCTGAATCTGTTTTTAGTCATTATTTAGTTGAGAATAATGATCTCTTAAAATACAAAAATCTCCACAGATAATTAAAATAAATATGACCTAATTAAAAATGTACCAAAAGAAAGCCTTTCAAAATAATTCTTTCCTATTTTTTTTTTAATAATATATTTAAATAATGATGTCTAATAATATTTCTAAATTAAAAGCATGAGTGGGGTCTAGCCCTCCTTTATTGTGAAAGCGCTCGCCCGGAAGTGTGTGTGTGTGTGTCGGGGATTGTGTCCTGTGTTCTCAGTGTGTCTCCAGTCTCTCACCAGTCAACATGTCGGACCCGTGCTCTTTCTCCTCGTTTCCCACTTTCCTCAACCGGGCACCTGAACCTCGCGCTGCACGTGGATTTCTCCCGCCATGTGATCAGAGGGGTCCTCGCGCTCACCGTGGAGGCTCTGCAGGACCGGCTGCACGTCGCTGGTATGTTCCGGTACCGGACCCGAAGTTAGCACTGAAGCTAACCGGAGCATTCAGCTAGAGCTCACATTTCCTACCGTGAGGAGAGGGCCCTGAAGGGGGCACCAGATCTTACTGAACTGAAAGGAAAAATATAAAATATGTTACACATATTTAATATAACATTAAATGCTTCTTAATGATACTAACGTTTATATTATTGTATCTATTATTATTAAATATTATTCTATATTAATATGAAACACTAAGGCCTCTTATTTCATAATAATCTCTCCTCGGTGGAGAATAAAGGAACTGATCATTTAACATTTAAAATAAGGAAGTCTGGTCTCTTAATATTTAATATTACATATAATATATTTAACATATTTAATATGATATATTTAATGCCTCTTAGTGTTACATCTCTGTTGTCTGGGTCACTTTTATTCATTTATGGCTGTTTGGACTTTTACCCTTATTACTGCTGAGCTGTCAGAGAGACACCTGTCTCACCTGTCAGAGAGACAACCCTGTCTCACCTGTCAGAGACCAGATGACTTGCCTAACGTATGCCGATTGATGCAGTCATCTTTGCACACGGGAAGAACCCTGAAGGTCTCTCTTCCTGTCTGAGTCCTTCCTCCGCTGTGTGACTCTATCCCCCCCTGAAGAGAGCCAAGGTGTAGAGTCACACAGAGTCCTTCCTCCGCTGTGTGACTCTATCCCGCCTGAAGAGAGCCAAGGTGTTTGACAGGAAGCCTCATGCACTCCTCTCTACCTGCAGAAACACCATCTCTTGAGTTTTGACCATTGTAAGTCTTTTAAAATATGAGCTTTATTTATAAATGTTTACATGGACTGCCCCCCCCCCTTAGGGGAATTCATCCACAGAAACCCACTGGACTCTGCAGTAGGTCAGAGACTAGAGGAGACTGAGCTCCACCGCAGACGGACCACTTTCAGTCAAAATGTCCTCTCCGTTAAAGACAGCTCTTTCTGGAACAGCCTCCCAGCTGAGACACGGACAGTCCCTCTCTCAATAGCTATCTCCTCGTGTTTGTTGTGTGTGTGTGTGTGTGTGTGTGTGTGTGTGTGTGTGTGTGTGTGTGTGTGTGTGTGTGTGTGTGTGTGTGTGTGTGTGTGTGTGTGTAGACAGATCAGGTGGGTGTGTGTGTGTGTGTGGACAGATCAGGTGTGTGTGTGTAGAGACAGATCAGGTGTGTGTGTGTGTGTGTGTGTAGACAGATCAGGTGTGTGTGTGTGTGTGTGTGTGTGGACAGATCAGGTGTGTGTGTGTAGAGACAGATCAGGTGTGTGTGTGTGTGTGTAGACAGATCAGGTGTGTGTGTGTGTGTGTGTGTGTAGACAGATCAGGTGTGTGTGTGTGTGTGTGTGTGTGTGTAGACAGATCAGGTGTGTGTGTGTGTGTGTGTGTGTGTGTGTGGTGTGTGTGTGTGTGTGTGTAGAGACAGATCAGGTGTGTGTGTGTGTGTGTAGACAGATCAGGTGTGTGTGTGTGTGTGTGTGTAGACAGATCAGGTGTGTGTGTGTGTGTAGACAGATCGTGTGTGTGTGTGTGTAGAGACAGATCAGGTGTGTGTGTGTGTGTGTGTGTGTGGACAGATCAGGTGTGTGTGTGTGTGTAGAGACAGATCAGGTGTGTGTGTGTGTGTAGACAGATCAGGTGGGTGTGTGTGTGTGTGGACAGATCAGGTGTGTGTGTGTAGAGACAGATCAGGTGTGTGTGTGTGTGTGTAGACAGATCAGGTGTGTGTGTGTGTGTGGACAGATCAGGTGTGTGTGTGTGTAGAGACAGATCAGGTGTATGTGTGTGTGTGTGTGTGTTGTGTGTGTGTGTGTGTAGACAGATCAGGTGTGTGTGTGTGTAGAGGATCAGGGTGTGTGTGTGTGTGTGTGTGTAGAGGATCAGGTGTGTGTGTGGTGTGTGTGTGTAGAGGATCAGGTGTGTGTAGAGGATCAGGTGTGTGTGTGTGTGTGTGTGTGTGTGTGTGTGTGTGTGTGTGTGTGTGTGTGTGTGTGTGTGTGTGTGTGTGTGTGTGTATGTGTGTAGACAGATCAGGTGTGTGTGTGTGTGTGTAGACAGATCGTGTGTGTGTGTGTGTGTAGAGACAGATCAGGTGTGTGTGTGTGTGTGTGTGTGTGTGTAGACAGATCAGGTGTGTGTAGTTTAGTGAGACGTGTTCAGAGAGGTGAGGTTGTGTTGGACTTTGTCTGCTGACTGTCAGCAGGTGAGGCGTTCAGGGAGAGGTGAGGCGTTCAGGGAGAGGTGAGGCGTTCAGGGAGAGGTGAGGCGTTCAGGGAGAGGTGAGGCGTTCAGGGAGAGGTGAGGCATTCAGGGAGAGGTGAGGCGTTCAGGAGAGGTGAGGCGTTTCAGGGAGAGGTGAGGCATTCAGGGAGAGGTGAGGCGTTCAGGGAGAGGTGAGGCGTTCAGGGAGAGGTGAGGCGTTCAGGGAGAGGTGAGGCGTTCAGGGACATGTGAGGCGTTCAGGGAGATGTGAGGCGTTCAGGGACAGGTGAGGCGTTCAGGGAGATGTGAGGCGTTCAGGGAGATGTGAGGCGTTCAGGGACAGGTGAGGCGTTCAGGGAGATGTGAGGCGTTCAGGGAGATGTGAGGAGTTCAGGGAGATGTGAGGCGTTCAGGGAGATGTGAGGCGTTCAGGGAGAGGTGAGGCGTTCAGGGAGATGTGAGGCGTTCAGGAGATGTGAGGCGTTCAGGGAGATGTGAGGCGTTCAGGGAGATGTGAGGAGTTCAGGGAGATGTGAGGCGTTCAGGGAGATGTGAGGCGTTCAGGGAGAGGTGAGGCGTTCAGGGAGATGTGAGGCGTTCAGGGAGAGGTGAGGCGTTCAGGGAGAGGTGAGGCGTTCAGGGAGATGTGAGGCGTTCAGGGACAGGTGAGGCGTTCAAGGAGAGGTGAGGCGTTCAGGGAGATGTGAGGAGTTCAGGGAGAGGTGAGGCGTTCAGGGAGAGGTGAGGCGTTCAGGGAGATGTGAGGCGTCTCAGGAGAGAGGTGAGGCGTTCAGGGAGAGGTGAGGCGTTCAGGGAGAGGTGAGGCGTTCAGGGAGAGGTGAGGCGTTCAGGGAGATGTGAGGCGTTCAGGGAGAGGTGAGGCGTTCAGGGAGAGGTGAGGCGTTCAGGGAGATGTGAGGCGTTCGGGACAGGTGAGGCATTCAGGGAGATGTGAGGCGTTCAGGGAGAGGTGAGGCGTTCAGGGAGATGTGAGGCGTTCAGGGAGATGTGAGGCGTTCAGGGAGATGTGAGGAGTTCAGGGAGAGGTGAGGAGTTCAGGGAGAGGTGAGGCGTTCAGGGAGATGTGAGGCGTTCAGGGAGAGGTGAGGCGTTCAGGGAGATGTGAGGCGTTCAGGGAGAGGTGAGGCGTTCAGGGAGAGGTGAGGAGTTCAGGGAGAGGTGAGGCGTTCAGGGAGAGGTGAGGTGTTCAGGGAGAGGTGAGGAGTTCAGGGAGAGGTGAGGCGTTCAGGGAGAGGTGAGGAGTTCAGGGAGAGGTGAGGCGTTCAGGGAGAGGTGAGGCATTCAGGGACAGGTGAGGCATTCAGGGACAGGTGATTTATTTTTTAGTATTTATTATTATCCTTTCTTTAAAAAAAGACTTGTTTATATTTGTATAATAAACAATAATAATAATTACTTATTATTAATATTGTTTATTCTTCTTATTGCTTATTTATAGTTTATTATTTATGTTTATTGTTGTTTATTGTTTATTGTGTACAGACTCTGGACTGCAGGGACCTGCAGGTGTTCTCGGTGAAAGCCAACGGGCAGGCGGCGCGCTTTACAACGGGCCCTAAACACACCTTTAAAGGAGCCCCCCTGGAGATCACCTTGCCCTTCGACCTCTCCAGGTGAGTCAGTCCACTTCCTGTTAGACTCCTTTCAAAGTAAAACAAAGCTAAGGTGTTTGTGTCGACCAATCAGAGGGCAGCATGTGATCGTGGAGGTGACCTATGAGACGTCGCCGACGGCAACTGCGCTGCAGTGGCTCTCACCTGAGCAGACGGCCGGGAAGGAAAAACCCTACCTGTTCAGCCAGTGTCAGGTGAATATAATATATGATGATGAATGAGTTAATTGAATACCTCGTTAAGGTGCATCTCTTCTTCTGGTGTTTGAAGCCTTGTACTCTGTGGTAATAAACTCTTTGTCCATCAAACGGCTCTTATTTCTAAAGTCTCAACACTTCCTGTTGGATGAAGAAACAAAGTTCCTCTTCTTTATTCTGCTTTATTTAACAATCACTTTCATAAACAAAGAGACATTTGGGTCCCTGGGTTTGTCTTGCAGGCTCATCACTGCAGGAGCATGATTCCCTGCCAGGACACTCCGTCTGTCAAACACACCTACAACGCTCAGGTAACACACACACACACACCTACAACCAGGTAACACACACACACACCTACAACCAGGTAACACACACACACACACCTACAACCAGGTAACACTGACACACACACCTACAACCAGGTAACACACACACACACCTTCCTCAGGTAACACACACACACACACACACGTCTTCCTCAGGTAACACACACACACACCTACTACGCTCAGGTAACATACACACACACACACACACACACACACACACACAGCTACTATGCTCAGGTAACACACACACTCACTCACACATATACACACACACAGACTCACCTACTACACTCAGGTAACACACACACACACACACACACACACACACACACACACACACCTGTGTCTTGTCTCTCAGGTGTCTCAGTGTGCCCTGTGTCTCTCAGGTGTCTCAGTGTGCCCTGTGTATTGTCTCTCAGGTGTCTCAGTGTGCCCTGTGTATTGTCTCTCAGGTGTCTCAGTGTGCCCTGTGTCTCTCAGGTGTCTCAGTGTGCCCTGTGTCTCTCAGGTGTCTCAGTGTGCCCTGTGTCTTGTCTCTCAGGTGTCTGTCCCTAAGGACCTGGTTGCAGTGATGAGTGCGGTGAGAGACGGACAGGAAGTGGACCCTCAGGATAACGAGCGAATCATCTACAAGTTCAGGCAGCCGGTCAGCAGCTGTCCTTCTCCTCTTTGTTTACCTGCCCCCCCCCCCCCTATTTGTTTACCCTGCCCCCCCCTTCTTTGTTTACCCCCCCTCACTGAGCTTTGATAATAATAATAATGTCCTCAGGTGCCCATGCCCTCCTACCTGATCGCCATTGTGGTCGGAGCCCTGGAGAGCAGGTACTGTCTCACCTGTACAGTTACTCTCTCACCTGTACTCTCTCACCTGTACAGTTACTCTCTCACCTGTACAGTTACTCTCTCACCTGTACAAGTACTCTCTCACCTGTACAGTTACTCTCTCACCTGTACAAGTACTCTCTCACCTGTACAGTTACTCTCTCACCTGTACAGTTACTCTCTCACCTGTACAAGTACTCTCCTCACCTGTACAGTTACTCTCTTACCTGTACAAGTACTGTCTCACCTGTACAGTTACTCTCTCACCTGTACAGTTACTCTCTCACCTGTACAAGTACTCTCTCACCTGTACAGTTACTCTCTCACCTGTACAGTTACTCTCTCACCTGTACAAGTACTATCTCACCTGTACAGTTACTCTCTTACCTGTACAAGTACTCTCTCACCTGTACAGTTACTCTCTCGCCTGTACAGGTACTCTCTCGCCTGTACAGGTACTCTCTCGCCTGTACAAGTACTCTCTCACCTGTACAGTTACTCTCTCACCTGTACAGGTACTCTCTCACCTGTACAGGTACTCTCTCACCTGTACTCTCTCACCTGTACAGTTACTCTCTTACCTGTACAAGTACTCTCTCACCTGTACAGTTACTCTCTCACCTGTACAGGTACTCTCTCACCTGTACTCTCTCACCTGTACAGGTACTCTCTTACCTGTACAAGTACTCTCTCACCTGTACAGTTACTCTCTCACCTGTACAGGTACTCTCTCACCTGTACTCTCTCACCTGTCTGTACAGGTACTCTCTCACCTGTACAGGTACTCTCTCACCTGTACAGGTACTCTCTTACCTGTACAAGTACTCTCTCACCTGTACAGTTACTCTCTCACCTGTACAGGTACTCTCTCACCTGTACTCTCTCACCTGTACAGGTACTCTCTCACCTGTACTCTCTCACCTCTACAGGTACTCTCTCACCTGTACAGTTACTCTCTCACCTGTACAAGTACTCTCTCACCTGTACTCTCTCACCTGTACAGTGATACAGTTCATATTGTTTACCGTAACATCAGCAGGTAAACAGTGTTCTGCCCTCTGATTGGCTGACAGGGAGATCGGCCCGCGCTCCAGAGTCTGGTCTGAGAAAGAGTTCGTGGATAAAGCGGCGTTCGAGTTTT